CATATTAGTGTAGGCAGATTCAACTACCGGTTCTTCATCACCTCTAACGAAATATGGTGTACACAGTTTTTACTATTTGGTAAGGTTTAAATTAAGAGACCTCCCCAAATGATATTAAGACTTTGTATTTAAGTAGAATTTCGAGACTATCAGTAAATCAGTAATATGAGGTGTATTCACTCTATTTCATTTAAAGTGATAAAACTCTACTTAAATAAGAAAAATAAGTAACGTAGTCGATTGTTATAGCAAATATACGTTTGTTTCATCAACCATCCCACCAAAGAATATAATATGGCAAAAAGCCTGGCCTTTCTTGAAATTCACAGCCCTGCGACCCAAGGGCACTCGTGGCAATGTGGTCGAGTGGTTAACATGTCAAGCTCCCACTCTGCACTGTCACGATCCGACTCCCGCTGGGGGTGTTGATAAGACCGATGCGAGGTCGAAACGGCAGTCAACCTTGGACGAGAACGACTTTTGTGAAAGCAATGGAAACGTCAGCTCTACTCATATCATTGTGGGAAAATTCTTCTACCAGTCCTTCATCACCTTAAGCAAGATTGGGTGAATACATCTCATACTATGACTTTGGACATAAACTTATATTTTGAACGAATATTTGGCTCTTTGGCTGCGCCCAAGGTGAGCTTAGAGTTATACATAATCTGAAGGCAGTATAAAAGCACGGGAGGCACGAGTGAATTTTGTGTGCTCTTGTCAAGGGGCTTTTGAATAGCAAATATTTACCAAATTACGCGCGCTGCTCCACAATGATCAGGCCAGATTTGTCAAAACCCGAGATTGATCCAAATTGAAAATCCTGAAAAACGTTCAACCCTGAGAATCTCATCTTTCATCGAAGGCCAGAATTATCACAAAATTCTTGACAGATGCCAAAATTGTGTTTGCCAATAGACTCAAAACTTCTCCGGTTATAATTTTATAATGGTGTGAAGATGTTCAGTAAACCTTTATTTGAAGCGAGTATTTTGGAATGTCACAAGTCACAATTGAAGTGGCCACATTTAATTTTGCAGAAGGATCGCTAGGTCAGTTAAGTTTACAGCATCTTTTCTTCCAAAAAGAGAGGCCAACAAACAAACTCGTTCAATTAGCAGCATGTAATACATGATCCAATTGTCAACGGGACCTTAGTTAAAGCCGAAAGAGTTGTGACTGTTGATTTGTGCAAATGACCCACTAGTTCATCGTACCGAGATCCAGATGAATCCGTGGTGAGCTTTCGTTAGTACTTTGGCATCGGCAGAGGAAGAAGACAAATTTTACGATAAGTAACCAAGCGGACTTCGGGTTTCGTGCATAAGTGAACACTAACATGCACATATAAATACAGAGACGGACACACTCACATGCATAGA